TGAAATTAACTGTTTACTGCTTATATTAATTTTATGTCTATGATTCTCTCACTGATTAAAACGAAACATATCAGATCTTCCATCTGTTTAACATCAAGAGGAATTATTTAAACTAATAATAATTTAAATAGCTTTTCCCACAGATTCAAATGGGCTGCTGAAAGGTATCCCATCAATCATTGCTCCTGCACCTTTCCCGGGATTCCAAATGATTGTATCTTAGGCAAAAATACATGGTTTTAAGGTTTATTTTTTTTAAAATGCAGGCAAGTATGAACAGCCAACAGAACAAAACGAAACAAAACAGCTCTGTAGAGCCATAAATATTTTCATATAGCCCACAAAAATGTCAGGCTTGATAACTATATACATCGCCTCTACATTAGGAGTCACTCACAACCCATTAAGCACTTTAAGACAAATATCAATTTTCTGAGTGACAAGGTGGGTGAGGTAATATCTTTTATTGGACCAACTTCTGTTGATGAGAGGGATAAGCTTTTGAGCTACACAGAGCTCTTCTTCGGGTCTGGGAAAGGTAGTCCCAACCTCACAGCAAAATGCAAGGTGGAACAAATTGTTTAGCATAAGTGGTTAGCACAATTTTAAGGGATCTTTCAAAGTCAAGTGGCCCGTTAACACCTCTGCAGTCACGGGACTAAAAGGGCTGGTTAGTGGGTTACAGATTGTTATAATAAGACATAAATCCATGTGCCTCTGTTAAATCAAAACAGTGCCTCTGTTAAATCCAGGGTTTTTAGTGTCTAGCAGAGTTATGAATTTAAGCTCCCAGGCTCATTTTTTGAAAGCGTTGTGCAGGTTTTCTTTGAGGATGAGGACTGGCTAGGTCAGATACCTAGTGATTGCTTTGGGGAAAGTGTTCACCCATAGATAGATTTCAGAGTGGTAGCCGTGTTAGTCTGTATCAGCAAAAACAACGAGGAGTCCTTGTGACACCTTAGAGACTAACAAATTTATTTGGGCATAAGTTTTCGTGGGCTATAACCCACTTCATCAGATGCATGGAGTGGAAAATACATTAGGCAGGTGCGGTGTATTTATATTTTCCACTCCATGCATCTGATGAAGTGGGTTTTAGCCCACAAAAACTTATGCCCAAATAAATTTGTTAGTCTCTAAGCTGCCACAAGGACTCCTCATTTTTTTTTTTTTTTTACGAGTGATAGAGTGTTTTTGTCACCACACCTACATTCATAGATCCAGTAACGACCCCAAAACATACCAAGAAAGCAGTCAGGCACTCAGCTACTACAGAATATGCTCTGAGGAGAAAGTCCGGGATATACACCTTAATACACTTAAAACCACCTTCATCAAACAAGGACACTCAACTATAGAAGTAGACCACATCATGGAACAGGCCAACCACATATCCTGAGAGAACTTGCTTCAATACAGAAATAAAAACCCCGCAGACCGCACACCCCTAGTTGTCACCCACCACCCCAAACTGGAACACATACGGAGCAACATCAATCACAACCCAAACTTGATGGGGACCCCATGCTGAAAGAAATCGTTCCTGAACCTCCACTTTTGGCCTTCAAAGAACCCCAAACCTCTCCAAGCTCATCATCAGAAGCAAGCTCCCCCCAGACCAGGACACACTAACTTAAAGCGGCCAGAGCAACAGATGCAAAACCTGCAGACATATCTCCACTGCTACAATGATCAACACCCCCCACAACACCCCTTTCAAGATCCATGAATCCTACCCATGCCTATCACAAGATGTGATGTGGTATACCTCATCCAGTGCACTAAATGCCCCAATAACAACTATGTGGGTGAAACCAGACAATCACTATGCTTTTGAATGAACTCACATAGGAAAATAATAAAAGACAAAAACACCCTAACACCTGTATGTGAACTCTTTTCACAAAACAATCATTTTATATCTGACCTATCAGTACTCATCCTCAAAGAAAACCTGCATAACACTTCCAAAAGATAAGCCTGAGAGCTTAAATTCATAACATTGCTAGACACTAAAAATGATGGACCAAACAGACACACTGGATTTATGGCTTATTACAACAATCTCACTAACGCCCCCCTTTTGCAGAAGTGTTAACGGGCCACGCTACCTTGAATGGTTCCTTACAATTGTGCTAAACAATCTGTTCCACCTTGCATTTTGCTACGACTCTGGACAGAGAGGACCTGTGCTCAGAGACAAACAGTGCCTGCTGATAGTGGGGAGGCAGATGGCTTCAGCGGTGTTACTGAGCATCCTGTCTGTGTGAGCATGCTCAGTACAAGCCAAGCAGCAAATCTGGTGGGGGGAGGGGGGGGAAGGCCATGACCCCGCATGCTCCCTCTCCCCCCAATGCATCGCCTCCGACTCCAGAAGTACGTTTTCCAGACCTGAAGAAGAGTTCTGTGTGGCTCAAAAGCTTGTCTCTTTCAGCAACAGAAGTCGATCCAATAAAAGATATTACCTCACCTCAAAGATATTACCTTGTCTCTCTAATATCCTGGGACCAACACGGCTACAACTACACTGCATACAATTTTCCGAGTGTCATTTTTTTCCAGTGGCTTATGGATCATGATATCATGGTTACTATTTTTGATGGTCGAAATGTGTTACATATTTGCAAACATTTTTAAATGAAATAATTCAAACAAAGAACAAGATACCTGGGTTTTTCCAAATTAATTTGTATATTCAAAACTCAGAGTAACTTCAACTTCAGTTCAACAGTTTATTCCAATAGGTGGTGCTAGTAATTTCTGCATTAACTGTAATAGCTATTCCTTTCCTACTCTGTTAGCAGGCTCTGATGTGAAATGTAAATTGCTGTGCACTCACAAATGAAACTGAGAAAAAGTAAATTACTTTTACTTTTATCGGAAGCTGAACAAACTCCAGTATTTAAAGTGGACCCTGTCCAGAAACATACAGGGAGACCACACATCACAATATCAAACGCATTAACAATCAGAAGGGTTTACCACAGAAATATACCCAGACAATTCTGTTTGAAGAATAAAATCTTCCTGGGGAGTGTGACTACCAAGTAGCAGGCATTCACATTGGCACCAATAGTAAATATTCCTATCTCATTTTCAGAATATTTTTTACTATACATCTCAAAGAGCATTTGTCGTAGAGGACGTATTGTATTCCAAGTGTCAAATTCTAGCCCACCATCCTAAATACAAACTGTCCAATATCACTGCAAACACTTAATACTTTGGTGCTACTATTTTTTCCTTCCACTTCCATAGAGGGGTGACGCTCGGTGTCTGAGGAACCCAGAAAGTAGGTTTATTATATACACTGAATTCACAAACAAATATTCTCTTTGCATCATAATATCCTTGCAAAAAAATTTAAATGACAAGATACGGCTATCGTAGCTAGGCTTCATATTAAATTATAGAGCCTTAATTAGTGTCATTTTAATTCAATTAATTTGAATCTTTAAAAATGAAATGGAGCATTAGAGCTTTTTTCCCCTCACAGCTCGCTGAAGACCATGTTTCATGTAACTTTTCACTACAAGCTTCACGTTCACAAATCGAGTTAACTGAACTGTACAGGCCTATTTAATCTAATAAATTTATGGGTTTACAACTTCAAATGATAAAAAATTGCAGTGAAACATAACATTAAATTGAAAATTAGCTCATCTGAGTTTATTCTGCAGTTAAATTTAAAAGAATGCATTTTCAGGACCAACATGGAAGAAAAAGGATTTGAAAGCAAAAACTAAGGGCTTGTCTGCACAGTGGGATAGTGCGCTCTATAGGGGTGTGATTCCTAAAGCGCACCAATGTGCTGCATGTTAATTGGTCCATATAGACCCTGCTGGTATGCACTAAACATTCCCTATAGCACTTAAAAGTAGCACTGTAAGTGTTAAAGCGCACTAGGAAACCTTTAGTGTGCACCAGCAGGGACTACATGGATCAATTAAGGTGCATCACATTAGTGTGCTTTAGAAATCACACGCTTGTAGAGTGCATTACCCCACTGTGTAGACAAGCCCCGAGTCATTGTAGTATACGTCTATGGGTTTGTCTACACTAGAATTAGACAACTGCAGCTGGCCTATGTTACAAGGTGGGAAGGTCCCAGAGTGTGGGCTCCAGCCTGAGCCCAGAAGTCTACACAGCAATGAAAAAGCCCCGCAGCCTGAGTCCTGGAAGCATGAGTCAGCTGGCATGGGCAAGATGCAGGTTTTTAATTGCATTATAAACTTACCCTATCTTTCCAGCTAGAAGAGGTTTGATTGCTTTCCTGTAGTGGTTAAAAAAAATTGCCAATTCCAGGAAGCATGTAAATCCCAGAGTCTCCTGTCTGGCAATACAGAGCAGTATTACAAGACCACTAGGCCAACTGTCTCTGTCCCTTAACATTGCTTATTGCTCTTCCCACTTTATCCATTCTGATGACAGCGCCTGGATGCTGGCTATGGAGGCATAGCAAACACTTTAGATGCCAACAAAATGGATGTCCCTCACCTAGTCAGCAAGAGGTTTTGTGAACAGTGTGGTGGCCTCCCACTTCCCCTTGCCTAGAGATTTTGATGCATCATGTCAACAACGTGATCAGTTTTCTATTTATAATTCAAGATCAGCAGTATTATTGACCAGGCAGTACTTCCAGTTGGCTATCAAACACCAGCTGATGATTTAGCCTTATATGTGACTACTACATCTAGAGACTTGACTGTAATCAAGGCTGAACAGCAACTTGGCACCCTTTCAAAATAAAAGTTACTAATCAGTTGCTTCTGTAAGGGAATTCAGTGATGTGCTTTTAGGTTTTTAAGTTGCAGATGAAAGGCAGGATGTGCAACTGCTGTGACACTCCCAAGTTTTACCCAATACAATAACAGTAACAATAGCATTCCCTTTTCATGAGTGGAAAAGTCAGAAACCCTTCAAAAAGAAAAAGGTTTATTTGTAAAACTTTAAAAAATAACTAAAATAATGCAATAGAACATATTGCAACATACACTCACCAGCATTGGAACCTGTCAAGTTGTAACGAACATTGAGCTTTTTGATGATGTTTTCATGGATCTGATACCAATCACTCTCGGTGTTGCACCTATGAAAACGGTAACACTCTTAAATCTGAAATGAGAGCTCACAGTTGTCAGACCCACTGTAACAAACTTAACTGGCTTCTCCAAATAAATTCTCTTCTGCACACCAACTAGCAGCTTGAGATTTATCTAAATCAACAGGTCATATTGTTGGCACAATGTGGGTTTTGGCATGATGCCCAATGAAACAGCTTCCCAGAACAGGGAGCAGTATCATGGCAGCACTCAGATGCACTGGGCTGAGGATGTCAATGTAGGAATGCTCGCTTTGCATGGGAAAATTTGAGCATAAGGGTGTCCTTGGTGGCACTCAGTAATTCAGCTACTGCTCAATTACTCATGTGTATTAATCTCTTCTTCATCATCATCTCTAAATTACAGTGAAACCTGCCTAACATGGCCATTCAAGAGCTCAGCAGAAACAGGACATCTAGTAGAGATAGTGTTTAACTAAAGGGCAAAAAAAAGTATGTTCTTAGTCTCACAGGGATAGAGGCTGCCTATAGGAGAAAGCCATTTGAATAGATTAAAAATACTGTAGGTACAAAAGCGTCTTGCCACAACTTTAAAATATAGCATTTTCAGTTGCTTTAATTTAAAGTGTTTGAATTCCATAATCTGACCAATATTTGAGAAATATTCCACAGAACTTTTTCTTGTCATTGAGACTAAAGTTAGTCTTAGTATCAAATTTGTCCTGTTTTATCTGAACTGAAGTACTAACGCCATATTTATTTTTACCAACGACAGACTTTGAAAGTGGAATTCAACTGTCCAACAAATACATTAACAGTGTGCTATCCAACAGAGAGCACTTTAATCTAGACTGACAGAAAATTAAAGTAAAATAAAAGTCAGCCACCTGTCCACCGTCATACTAAATTGCCGTCAGAAGCACTGCTTCCAGCAGTTCTAATTCAGCACAGTGGGGAATAAGAGACAGGTGAAGGGCTGCTTTTTAGAGACTGAAGTGTCTTCAAGGCTAAAGTACTAAACTTTACTGGAAGAGGAATCCCTTAAGTGTCTGACTAGTGTATCTCAGTTTATACCCTTAGAATAGATCATTCCACAAAATATTTCTTAACTTATTGAGCCCAAGGTCAGCGGGAAATTCTATGTTCTGTGTCACTGCATCCAGGAAATTGAACTTTCTTCCTATCTACTGTCTGCCAAAATCTCATCTGCCATTTAAAACCCATGCATTTAAAATAATTAGATTTTGAGTGAGATGTTTTGGTTTTCCAGTCCCCTGCACTTATGGCATTGTTAATATTTTACACTTTTTGCTATTGCAGTTTTGTAATTGTTTTGCATCATTATATATAAATGATTGCCCTGCCTACTACTTTCTGATAAAGTACTCTTGGCAGACATTTGGGTGGTACAAGGAACTCCAAAGAAGTCCCCCAAACACTTCACGTTGCCAGATAAAGATAGGCAGAGAAATTGCTATAATTAAGGTTGTTTAAGCATTTCCATTCTAATCCCCCATTTTCAGTGGCTTTTAAAACTTTCTGAAACTTACCCCTCTCGAGCTCAAGTCTTCCAGGTTTAGGCTTTGCCCAAAGGAAAATCATTTTGGAAAATTGGAGCAAAAGCAATTCAACTATTTTTGAGTATGAGTAGAGTGAAAGATAAAACACACGTTCATGGTTATCAAAACACTTCTCGGACACTGAAAACCTATGGGTAGAAAGTGGCAAGTTTACAGGGAGAGGAAGTGTGTAGGAATACGAACTATGAACAAATGAAAAATCACACTCTAGGAAAGCAAAGTACATTTTTCAGGGAGCTCTTGCAAAACTTGTAAAGTGTGCACTAAAGACGACCTGGCTGTAGATGAATGCATGGTTTAGCTGCACAGTGAAAACTCTAGTGATGGTGTGCAGCGAATTGTTCACTGTGTTTCTTGTAAAATAGCACACTAAATGAAATTACACAGGCCTCAATCCTGCAAACTTAACAGGACTGTTTGCATGATCAAGGCCCATAGGTGTAGAAAAGAGTTATGATATCCTATTGCATCATTTGATAATTGTATCCAATCAGGGCCAGATTAAAGTAACACATGCACCCCAAACTCACATATTTCCTGACTTCTGAATGTTTAATTGTGCAATTTTTTTTAACATATAATTTTCATTTTTGAAAAAACAAACAAGTTGATGGAAGTTTTACAAACTGCGACAAAAATGGTGAAAAATTCTGAATTTTTTATGAATTTTTTTTAGGAAACCCTTTCCCTAGTCTTTGACCAGCTCAAAAATATACTATTTTATATTATGAGGGATTAGAATGGAAATGCTTAAACAACCTTAAAGGACTAAAGCCCTTTACTTACACTAATTAAAAGCCATTGCTTCTTGGTACAGACTGATATAAATGGACTCCAAAACTCTTAATAAATTAAAAGGAAACAATCTCTTACATGTATACTTTTAAGATAAGGTCATCCTTTGAGTCTCCTGCCAGTAGATCTGCAATGCTGAGGACTGCACAGCCAAAGGGCCGTCGGTACTGTACGTTGCAAGCATTTTTCTTTTCTCCAGCTCCCATTCGGCCTGTCAAATATAGCAAAAATATGATGCATAATCCACTAAAATGCCTCCTTCTAAAGCCACAGAGGAGGGAGACCAGCTCAGCTGATACCTGTAGATAATGTAATGGTTTTTATGAGATTATGGCAAGCGTAGTGATTACAAATCTCCTCCATCTTTTCATATTTTCCACTTAAATTAGAACAGTAGAAAATATGAAAAGTGCATTACACTTATAGTGCATTTGTAAGGTCCAAAACTGAGGGGAAACTGGTTACCTTCTCCTGACCTCCCCTATCATATACTTCTTGTTTCATATCCAGTAACTATATTCGATTGGGCAATGCTGCACCAAATTTAGCATTCAGGTATCATGTACTACCGGACGTTACGTCTTATCACATTTGTAAATATTATTTCACTACAGTTGTTGTTAATAGTCCTCTGCCCTGTGACTGATAGGAAGTGCTGTCTCTGGCGATGACAATTAAGCAGACAGGTGCTGCCCCCATAAGAGGCAATTCAGTAGCATGGGGATAAGTGGACTAATGCAAGAACAGCTATTAAAGATGAAAGACAAGAGGAAAGAACAAAAAGAAGAGGAAAGATGCTGAAGTACAAGAAAGCAAATAAGTATAAAGAAACAAACAAAGAAGCAAAAGGAAGTAGTGATGGAAACCAGACTTTTTTCTAACATTCTTTCCCCTTTGATTCAAAAACAATAGCCCAACTGCATGAACAAAGCAATAGCCCAACATTCAGCTGCATGTCTTGCATCAAAATAGAGGGGAATCCCTTCCTTTACCTAGTCTGCTCAATCACAGCTATGCACCTTTTCTACCAGGTGCATATGCGTTTGATGCCAATTTCTGAAATGAAAAGCACCTGGTCATAGCTGTTGTCGGAAAATGCCTCCCCATAACATTTCCCTGCATCACAGCAGCTAGGAGAGTAATCTTTCATTTTCACCAAGTACCTTGTCCAAATCTTATTTTAATCTAAATATTTCAGCAAGTGTCCTTGGTCTTTCAATAGCTCTCTCTCATAATCCCACATCAGTGCTATGTTTATGCAGTGACAAATGGCAAACTATTTATGACTCTGCAGTGTTTCTTGTTCCTTCTCTCTCTTTGGAATAAAAAGATGCTGGGTTCCCTAATGAAGGCCCTTAAAAACTGCATTGGCCTTTCAGACGGTCGGATTGCGGAGTTATGAAACATATAGAACCTATTTCAACTTTACAGAATCAGAAGACATAGAGGCTTTGAATTGATGCAACTGAAATAGCATATGCAGTGACTACAATATCAAGACTGTCATACAAAATTCATAGGCATACTTTCTGGAATCTTAAACTGATCTAAATGCAAAGACTTGAGGTTTTTTCCTTGCTCTAAAAGTCTAGATTGTCAATATTTTAGAAAAATGGTGAAACAAGGAGGATTCTATACCTTGCCCTTATTTTAAAGGTTTATTCTTACCAACTTGGCGGTTGGCTCAAAAGTTAACATTTTCACCATTTTTGCCTCAAAATTGTTTACCACCCAATTTCCTACATCTTACCCATTAAATGAGTATATGTCTCCCAGCTTTGAAGTCCTGGTGACACACCACAACCATATAAAAAGGAAAAAAGTATACAGAAAAGATCTGAGACACATTGCTTATTCTGTATTAAGACAGGTGTGTATTACAGTATCCAAACCCAGCGTGCAGTACAGAGGATTATTACAACAAAAATAAAATACTCTTCAAAAAATCAGAAAGAAATGAAGGTACACTTAGTGCTGTACATCAACGATACCATTATTTTACAGGCAACAATGCATATCTCTAAGAAGAGAAATACTCAGGAATGATGTGAAGATTATCAGAGTTAACTCAATATAGCCTCAAGACAATTTCTTAAAGAAATAGATTAAATAAAGTACATGCTCTTCACTTCTACAGATCTTAAACATTGTCTTTGGAGGAAATCAGATTTGTTCATATCATATGTTAAAATTTTCTTAAAGAGAACAACATTTCCTCCATTGCAGTTTCTTTTCCCTTATCCCACGAAAAGGACACTGAATTCGTTTGAACTATTTAAAAGAACGGGTACACATTGTCATCAGTCCATTTATACTAATTAGGTCTGCTAAATTTCCAGACAAGTTGTTCTACTAGTGCAACATGCCTGAAATTACTCTGTGGGAGTAAAGCAGGTTTTTTCAACTCCTTTTAAACTCATTCATTATGCTAAGACAGTTCATATGATAGGCACGCATGTGCTTTTTGGTATTAATGAGAATAGTATCCTATATTGTTATAGGGTACTCTGTCCTTAAGGGATTATAAATTTAGCTTCTTAAAGCGTTTAAAATATTAGCACAGAGCAATGCTGGGAAATTCTAGGCACACTTTATTTGCTATTGTGTATCAGAATGTAAGCACATTCTTTTCAAAGCTTACTCAGACATACAACCAGCGAATGTGACAGATGCCATAAGGAAAACTCAAGCACATTGTCTTTCCTTTATTTACTGCCCAATGCCTTCCAAATGTACAGTTTATGCTGGCAAGCTGTTGTACATACCTATGCGGATAATGTGCACAGTGATGTAGATGTCCTTCCTGAGTTCACTGCTACTCAAGTCCTGCAGAGAATCAGAGTCTCATTATTTTTGACCCACAATTAAAATATGACATTTAAAGATCTTAGCATATTACTATATGTGCCAATGAAAGTGATAAATGAACACGGAGTGCACTTTTAACAGAGGATTTGTTACAATACAGTATTGAAAAATTACATCCTTGAATACTTTAAATTTGTGGCCTTGCAGGAGTATGGGCAACTTCTGTCCTAAAATGCTATGGAACAGATTGTGCCCTGCTGCATCAAGGCTGCAGAGGGGCAGGACGCAAGGAGCTCCCTCGTGCGCCCCTGCACATCAGTGATGCATGACTGCAGTCCCTACACTCTTTAAAGCACAAGGATTGCTGTCTCCAAGCAACCCCTGGGTGCAGGAGAGGCAAGGAGGAGGAGGGGCTGCCCAGCCTTGCAGGGAGGAGTATGCTGTACCTGTGCACTGGGAAAGCACCAGAAAGCAGGCAGAATTATTTCTGGTGTTCCTCCAGGTGTGGTGCAGCACTGCAAGACCTTTAGCATTGGTCTGTGCCTCAGTGACACAACAGAATCTTTCATTAGGATTCAAATCAATAGCCAATCAAACAGCTCCGACACAGCACTGAACTATTTAATTACACAATAGTTAATTTACTCCATCTTTTATTTAAAATATTCAGCACAATTGCATGAAATGAGCATAAAGAATGCGTAAAGCTCACCACAAAGAGAGAACAATGTCTTTCTGGCTTCTCTGGACATTTTGGCAAACCATTCCTATTCAGTCTTAAAAAAAACCTCTCGCTGCAAGAAAATAAATAGAGTAGGCTGAGTAATGTTAAGGCAAATGAGACTTCATTCTGAATTTCTTTCAAGGTGAAATCTTCCTCAAAATATAGAATGAAATTTCTAAGAACTTGATAACAACAAAAAAGTATACTGAATGTTGATGTATTGTTTGTTGTAATTACAACATATCCAAAATTAAATACAATTATTTTTTGGGCTGTGATTTTGTAGAATTGTATTCACTTCCTGTGAAATGATGTACATACATAGAAATACAAAACTATAAAATCTAGGTACACTGAACATTATTACAGAAGGTATGCAATATGTTGGTACAGATTCTAACTGTGTGGGTATTGGCATAATCACACAAACTGCCATTCAGTCACTATCTTTCTCACAGATTAATAAAATTGTCAGAGGAAAAGGTAATAGGTAAGATGATGTTGACAATATTTGTCCCTACTATTAAACTTTAACTTCCACCCTCCCTAATGTAGCTAGACTGGACGGATTTTAGTAGACTATGGAATAAGAGCCTTTACAGCTGCAGTCAGGAAAGCATTATTTCCAGAATTCTGCCTTTAAAATCTGTCAGTGTTTGCTAAATGCTACTGTGGAAACAAGTATCAAAACAAAGAGTTTGGCAAATTTAACACTGCCTCTGCTAAAGCAGAGAGAATGAGAGAATTTTAGAGCCACTGAGGGGGCAGGACCTATGAAAAAGGGGAGAAAGGGTATTTGTTACATTAAGGAAAGATTCCCACAGAATTTTAATGGGAGTTGGATCAGGCCCATAGGAAGGTTCACTATATGAAACAGGCAATTCATGTGTGGAGGAAGTTTACAAGAGAGTCAGAACCCTCCATGCGTTGGACCAATTCTAATGGGATGGGTCATAACCCTATTTTTAAAGGGTGGAAGCAACAGGGTCACAAATAGTACGATGTGCAGAAAATCTTCCACACTTCTCCTCCCCTCCCCCCCCAGCCAAGCAGCTGTCTGGATACCCCAAAGTTATCAAATAAATTACCAAGAGATCATCCTGTACATACATTTTTAACTACAGCTTTCTCAGCTGTTTCTATCTCTTCTGCCTATGGCCAAGGCCCAAACATTTTTGCCAATGTTTTATACTAATATATATCTTTTAAAAACAGCAGCAGGAATATTTATAGGAATATGCCGGATGAGGTACAAAACCCTGAAGATGAGTTAAATCTTTATTGTTCTGTCATTCCCTATTCACAAAATCTGGAGACCAATCATTTAATCAAAATCATATTTAACCTGAGCTACAGTTGGGTGTTGGTTTAATTTGTATAAGTCAGCCAACCTGGGCAGTTTGAATCCCCAGGTACTTAGACATTTTATTGGAATAGTTCATTTTAAACCACATTCCCCATTTGTAGCTACCCAGTTTCCCATTTGATGGCAGAATAAGTGGAAGCTAAGAGTAGGTAGTCTAAACTCTTGTATATTTCATAGGCAGAGAAGTGGAAATGCCATTTCTCAAGCACATACAGATACTTTAGTATATAGCCATCTCATCTCCATGGTAACTTTAAAAGAGGGTTTAAAAATAAGGTCACTCAACATTCTGTGCAAAATCCAACTGTTTTCTGCTGGCATATGAATTTAAAAGATGAAGTGTTTTTCAAAATTTTTAAAAAAATTAGCTCATTTTAATACAAATACAATACACTAAAAGAGTGCTGTTATATCAGATGCTGCATCACCGGGCTCTAAATAAACTTAAAGTTAGCACTCACCACAGCAAGAATATTACTGTGTGTATTATATAGCGCTTAGGAGCCGCAGTCATTGGCCAGGATCTCATTGTGGTAGATGCTATACAAGCACAGAACAAAAAGATGGTTCTTATCCCACATTGGCTACACACCCTGTCTCTATGATCTGCAACCAGCAATGAATCTGAACTGTGTCAATATAATTTTAGTCCAGGCAACCAACAAGGCTGTTCTGAATTTCACCGCCTTATCTCCAGTCTATAGACCTGTCCATCAGTCATGTGTATCAGCAGCAGTGGATGTTTCACTGCATGATTTGTGCTTAAAGCAGGCAAATGGAAATGATTGTCCCAAACAAGAACAGCAGCTTCCAGGAAACTGGGTCTTTGGCAGACTTATGGTGTTTATAAACAGTTTTTATAGGCTGGCAAATGTTGAAAAAATATGCATGCCCTCCAAAACCCAGTGCCTGTTGTAACAGCTTACTGTACATTCACATGTCACTTCATCTTTCAGATGATCCATTCATTCCTGCTCTATACCTTCTCATATAGCTAAATAGCTTGTTATCGCTTACACACGCTTGAAAAATTTACTCAGCACCTCATAGCTTGAGATATAAATCAACAAGTCAGGGTAAGAACACATGGGCTGCCTGCCTGTAGATTTCCAAAGACACTTAACTCACATTTGGAAGGTTGCTTGCATAAACATAAGCGCTAGGAATTTATTTTTAGAAAAAAAATTACATTTAGATTCTGCAGATGTCAAAGGCACTGCCCTAGGAATGCTTCCACAGGTGTGCGGATTTTTCAAGCCCTGATTACACACGCTCTCGGCAAGGCTAAGCAAGTGTAATTCAGGATACAATTATTAAAAGCCAGCAAGCAAGCACTGTCATGCCACACAGAAATATACCATTTGAGATGACACTTAATTGGTGATGCAGAGCTAAATTTCTCAGATGCATTTTAAATGTAGTATGATTGAAGGAAAATAACTCTAGCTGCAGTTTCCACAATGTGATTTACACAAAAATGAAGCAAAAGCTACAGTTCCGACTACAACGTTAGAATACGTTAGCAGAGAGCAAATGTGAGAAGTCAGCCTTTTAAAATGTTAGGAAATGTTGATATTCAGTTACTTTTAAGTAAAGAGGGCATGTGTGTTCATTAAACCTCATGTGGATTTCTTCATAGAAACCACGTTAGAAAATGAATGAGAAAAGTGAACTTTCTTTTCTAAAAGAAAGAGAAAATACAGAATTTGAGAGATCTAACAGCATGGCTTCAATCAGCCAAAACTCCAGATGATTAAAGCTGAGGCTAGTGTTTTACTTCTCAGCAGTCAGTCACCGGTAAATATACCTGGCAAATATGCACAGCAATAACCCAAAGCAGAAGGATCTTTTCTTTGTATTAAGGGCATTTGATTTTAGCTTAGACTTCTAAGCATTTTTATGAGTGCTAAACTCGCCACTAAAATATGCGGTGCACATTCTAGCTCTGCTGTCTTCTGATAAGAAATACAGAAATAACGAACACTGAAGAGATTAATTTAAGCAGGTCAACAAGGGATTTTTGTACTGAAACATCCTCTGTAATACTGAAGTAACAATGTGCTCCAAATCTGCAGTATACCGATTGCCTTTAAAAGGAACGTGCCACAAACTGTTCTATTTTCATAACTGATTCTTATTTACTTATATTACTACTTGTGTGTTATTAGTCTAGACAGATTGCCTATTGTATGACTTTTAAACACAAATCTGGCTGTCTTTTTGATATTATGCCACATGACATGTTGTTGTAGAAAAGATTACCTTATAAACTGGCCAAATTCCTCAGTATAACATGGTTTTAGACATATTTAGGTAGAGACTATGTAAAGTTAGGTTCAAATAAGAAAAAACAATGAACACAATAGATACTGAGAAAAAAGTGTTAGATAATTTTCTAAAATATTCTTAGAACAAAACACACGTTTCAAGAGTAAAGTTAGTTATATTTTATTACACTGACAATGTGTATACATTACAGACCCAATCCTGTACCCATTGAACAGTTGCAAAAGATTCACTGACTTCAGTAACAATAAAATCAAATCCAAAATATTACCATTATATGTAATGATAGTACACATGCAAGATGTTCTACAGCATGTCACAGATGCCTGGTATAAACAGATAGTAAGACCTCCAAAATGGAAGTCACAGGAATGTAATTAATGGACACTGAGAAAGGTTTTCAAAAATGCCTAAGTGATGCAGGAGCACAAGTCCAATTGACTTTCAAATGGGACTTGCACTTTTAAGTCAATTAAGCATTTCTCAAAATGGTGCCTGCCCAGAATCTTTAGTTTGATGTAACTCCAACAATCTAACTAAGAATATTAAATGGTGTGTGAGAGAAAAGAATATTTCTTTTAATCTGAATATTTTGCATTGAGATTACACACCAACTACTGGTATAAACTGCAACCTGGCTACTAACCCAGAGAGGGAAATTAAAAACATACAGTGAAATTCTCAAAGATACCTTCATGGCTCTGCTGACTCTTTTAGTCATGGAGACTACATGACTCTGTGTGCTAGCCTGCGAGTAGCAATATTTTGAAGGCTTAGGCTGGGATTTTGGCTTCTTGAGTAACAGCTACAATGATTTTAGCATAAATAATTTGCACCAATTATTTTTCACTAATATTTCATATAGAAACCATGAGTCTGAGAGATACAGAAATAGCTTCAGAAGACAAAGTATGTTTAAGCGATAACAGGGAATTTACGATGAAAGAAACAAACGTACATTCCAGGCTGGAGCCTTACTAAATGGTAAGCTTTTATTTAAAGCTTAGCCTGGCACCACAGGAGAACGATATTTTGGGTTGTGGTGTCATCAATACATAGCTTTACATCTCCTTTATGCTGAACCCAGATTCTACTGTCTCAATTATTCTCCCAGTGCCTCACTGAGATAAGGGTCTGGATAGAAGCAAATTTGCTGTGACTCAATCCCAATAAGAGGGAAATTAAACTTGAAGACAGCGGGAAGAGTTTACAAGAAAGGCTGGCATCTGTTATCTATACCACAATCTGAGGATATATGCTTATCTTTTACCAACCCACTGGATTCACCGTGATCGTGGATTTACTGTGGTGGTCCACAGTGCCAGGAGACTGATTGTATTTCTCATGCAGACTCTGTTACAGTCAGCACCCAGCTGGCTGCACTGTGCCCTGGCTGGTTAGGAATACCCTGAAACCCT